ATTATACTTATTTTTTGGGGAATTTTCTGGTTATGTATATTGATTGCATGGTTTGGAGAATTGACTTAGTTGTACTAAGCAATCAAGGATTTATTGATTATAATCAATTTTAATAGAATCATGATATTGTCTTAGAATTAATTTTGTTTAAATTGAAATCAAATTACTTATATTTTCTGTGATTATAAAAGTAATGATCATGTAATAGTTTTCATTGAATTTATAAATAAGTGTCTTGATTATGACGAGTGTCTGTTGGCATATGCGATGTGGGCGAACATTGGAAGGCTACAGAGTGAAGTTTTATATGTAGGCTTTACACCCTTCGATGATATAACGCGAATTAAAGTCGTGATGACCGTGAATATACCAGAACTCCAAAGTTAAGCATGTTTAACCTGGAGTAGTACTAGGATGGGTGACCCTCTAGGAAATCTCTGGTCCGGGGGAACTAAAAGCGAATAATATTGTATCTGGATAGGGTGAGGGTTGTTACATTGATAGTTCATACTAAGGGAAGACAAATTGTGCTACACCCTAGTTTAAAGTCGTTAGGTAGACAATTTGTACCAACCAAAGATAATTTATACTTAATGTTTGATTATATATATTTTCTTGATATTACCATTGTGAGCTTGTAGCCACAAGATCCATAATTATACATAATGTTAATTTTCGCAAATTAAATATAATTGACCATTGTTATGAGGTTAGTAGTGAAGTCAATTTCCTAGATCTTCTCTCTTGGAAAACTTTATCATCTGACTTAGTTTATTTTCAATTTTTAATTTTATTGCAATTAGAAGTAGAAAAACAACAAATCAATCTTTTCTTTTGAATCAAATCAGAAGTATTCTTATACTTAACAATACCATCATGGTCTTTGAGGTTTGACACTCTCAATATAACCATATCATACTAGGATTCGTTTTATTGTGAGTGGTTTTATCATTGAAAACACAAATCATGGTCATTTTCTTATTCAAGACTAGTCTAGCTTTAGGGTTTGTGTGTGCTATGCACAACCATTGATTGTAATTTGACATTTATTAAATGAAATATGATTTATTTGTCTTCATATAATATTGATAATTTATTGTATTGAGTTATTCAAAGAGTTTTTGATCTAATTGTCCATTAATTATGATATGATGAATTTTTATGCATATAATATATAAATTTATTGATATTCGTAATTATTAATGTTTTCACTCAAAGGAAAAGAATTAGACATTTAATTTCATGAATGTAACTGCTGATTTCTAACTCAGTGGAAACACTAATGCTGCGTTTGGTTGAAGGGATGGAAAAATAGATGGAAGGCAGAGCAGAATGGATGGATGCCCTTAGGAAGGGAAGATGTCTCTCTCAAATTTTGTTTGGCAGAGCAGAATGGATGGATGCCCTTAGGAAGGGAAGATGTCTCTCTCAAATTTTGTTTGGCTGAATTGAATGGATAGTCAAAAGGATTAATGGGGTGATATATTATTTTTGTTTGGTTGGAAGGAAGGGAAATAGGGGTTTTATATTCTTTTTACCAATATACTCTCATTATTTCAAATTATAAAAATCACATATTTTTGTTAATTGTTACTTCTTTCTTTCTCCTCTTCCTCCCAATTTTGGGTACCTCCAACCAAACATGAAAAATTTATTTTATCCACCCTCTCATCAATCCCTCCTCAGTCCCTCCCTCAAACCAAACATAGCATAAGAGCCCGTTTGCAATTGCTTCTCCATTGCTTAAAAGTGCTTTTATTTTGAAAAATTGCATTTAGATGTGTTTGGTAACATTAAAAGCTCTTTTAATAGTTACTAAATTTAGTTCAGTAGAACGTTTGAATAAAGCTAGAATTTGGAGGTTTTAAAATGCGTTATGAGTAGAGGTTGAATATTTTAGATAATTCTTTTTCATTAGTCAATTATATCTTTTTTATTTTTTATAAAGACATTACACTAATTCCTTAATAAAGTTGCTATTATCAAATATGATAACATCATATTAAAGACTATTATTATAAAATTAGCAATATAAGTGTTTTAAAAAATATTGTTACAAAATAAATTAAAAAATAATTTAAATATGAAAAGTACTTATTGTAATGTGTCACCAAATACTTAAAATGCTTTTTACTAACCATATTTTTTTGACAGCTCTATTGATAAAAATGATATATATATATATATATATATATATATATATTTTATTTATTCCAAAAGCAACCCCAAACGGGTTCTAAGTGGAGTGACTTATCTCAATCATCTATATGAGGTAATTCAGAACTGAATGTATTCAGTGTGGGACATGGTGAACGGATCGTCGATAAGTAGATAAATTACTCACACCATCATGAGTAATTTTTCTTATTTGTTACTAATATAAGTTGACTTTTAAGCCTAAGAAGTATACTAGTTGGGGTAATATTAATATTTGCTTTAATTTATTTGAATGACTTGTGGGTTGATACATTTGGGTACTTTATATAAATATTAATATAATATTGCAGAACGTATTTCATCACGATGGAATCCATGTGTGAAAATATTTTAGTTAGGTTGATTTGATCACGGGAAATCTAGTAAGTTATATTTAATATATGATTTTACTTATTAAATATATGTGATCAAACGGATAAATGTAGGAGACTAAGGTGCTATTTAATTACTCAATTTAGAGCTTAATTTTGAATGTATTCAACACTTATCTAATTAAGTGCGTTCGATAACATACTTTGAATATCGCTGAAAATGATAAGCGCCACTTAAAATTGAATAAAATTTTAAGTGACAAAGATACACTTATAACTGAATGTTAAACACTAAAAACTCAAAAAACATATCCTAAAAATTTAAGCACTTAAATTTTAAAAAAAGCACTTAAAATTCAGCTTTTAAAATTTTTAGTACTTAATATTCAGTTTTATCAAACAATAATATTAATTAATTAGTACATCAGATTGATGGTAATATTTACCCAAATAACTAATGAACGTGAAAGGGTCAATTCATGGTATAAATAACTGCTAGGACTAGATTATAATTAATAATATTTATTCGCAAACTTGAGTGCAATTATTTATTTATAATGGAGTTAGAAATAAGTAATGGATGTATTTAATAGGCTGATGTGTGAGCAAGCTATTATAATTCTCTATTAAAGTTAAAGATAGGATAAACCTATCAGATTACACTCCCCGTCAACAATAGATGAGAGACAAATTAATTACTGTAAAAGTCTACCTCTAAGGGTGGTGGTGAGATTGTTCCAACACACATCTTTCATAATATTATTCAGAATGCACACCTCTCTCTTAGTTTCATAATTGAGAAGGAAGCTCACACTTCTCATTACTCGTGGACTGGAAATCCATATAGTAATCAATCAATTATTCAATTATTTAAGATGTAATTAAAGATTAATAATAATTTATTAATGCTAATTGAGGCAATTGAGACGATCTTATTCCATTCAAAAAGATTATTTTTGAAATTTGAGTTACCCAACAACCCTTGTCCAATAAGTTTGCGTGTATTCTAATTGGAATAGGAACATGCACGGAATAGATTCCAAATTTCTTCCTTTCGGCTAGGTAAACAATTGTTCTATTACTAGTTCTTAAATTTACTTGAATTTTAAATACAAAAGAAAAGAATTTGTTAATATAATTGTTAAATATTATTTAGAATAAGATTTTGTTATACTCTGATTTTATCCTAACCAATTAATTTGTTTTTGGAATTTAGCATAGCGAAAGATGTTAACTAAGAGTATCTCCAATGTCCTCTCAAATGGATTCTCAAACTCAAAATATAGCAGGTGGATAAAAATAAGGCACTTCAATAGCCTCTCAAAAGACCTCTCATATTTTAATATTTTCAAATACATTTTAAAATATAGTACCTCTCAAATTCAAAATATAACAAGTGGATGAAAATAGGCACTCTAATGGGCTCTCTCAAAAGACTTATCATATTTTGAGATTATCAAAAATTGCTAAAATGAAAATAAGGCACTCTAATGAGTTTTCAAAATATAGAATAGTTATTTTGTCAAAAATAACATTTTGAATAAAATAGACCATTGGAGCAGAATTGCAAAAATATAACATTTTGACATTATAATTACTTTTCAAATATAAATTTAACATAAAAATATAGTATTTTGCATTGGAAATGCTCTAACCCCTCAAGATGTTAGGGGAGTAGACACGTTTTAAAAACTTTTTTTTTTATTATTTTTTATTCTTTTATTAGTTGCGACAAATATACACATGTTTGAAAATTTTATTTTATTTTTATCAGTCGTGACAAATACGCACAGGTAAGTTATTAAGTTGTGACAACAAAAAGAGTTTGGACTCACATTAATTAAATTAGACACACTTCGTCTAGACACCAAAATCGATCTTACCGCAAAACGCCGGAGAGACTAAGGCGAAAACGTAAGACAAACCAAACACAAAATTTGAGAGTTATGAAGCTAAACATGTCATTCATTACCAAGACACGAGTAAGGGGTGTGGGGAGAATAAGTTTTTGATGCTGAAGCTAAGGGACACAAGACACTCATAAAGAAGGGGTTGGAAGGAAGAAACCTGTGGGCCCACCAATTGCTGGGTTATCAACTGGCAAGTAAGTGACGCCAGCCTAGCATTTTTGATAAATCATTGACCGTGGGTCCCAATTTCCTTCACAATCCCCTGCCCCCTCTCTCGCCATGTAGACGCATCATCCCACATTTAATTCCCTTGTTTCGGCACTATTTATTAATTTCCACACTTTTAGTCACCCAAATCAACATATAATATTCTCTCTATACATATATATATATATATAACGGACACACATACTTGAGCAGCAAATTTATGAGTCTAAATTATTAGTGTCGGCAAAGCCCATTTGAAATGTAGGTTTCTGGAGTGATTAAACAGCAATTATGGGTCTAAATTACTATTATTATTGCACTTTCCTTGGATTATACTACATTGATATGTATATATTCTTTATATGTATGTGTATAACAAGAGTATGTACATGAAGAGCTGTCTTTCTTTTTTTTTGGCTGTCGCTTTCTATAACCCATCCGTTTGTATTCTTGTTTCATTTGCTTAATCGGCATCCTATAATCACACCCTTTTCCTGTGCTCTCTGTTTCCACTTCCTTTTTTTTATTTCATCAAATCTTGTCACTGCCCAATTTACCGTTGCTGTGAGCTCTTGCCTCTTGGGTGCCCCTGAATGAGAGAGGGGAGACTCATGAAGAGGCTAGTAAGTACGTTGCTTTTTCATTTTAATTTCTGGTTTATGCTCACTTTATTCTGAGGCTTTACTACTTGATTTGATTGTTCTGAAATTTTCCACATCTGGGTTTGTTTGATATTTGTTATATGAGAATTCTTGTTGTAATTCTATTCAATTATGTTTATCAAGTGATTGTTCTAGTTGGGAATTGATCTTTGTGGGTTTTTTTTTTTTTGATTGGACACTGATCTGATATTTTTAGTGTAAATTTACTATTTATGATATTTTTTGTGTCCTTTGGAATTATATTTTAATGGGTTTTGTAGATCATTGCCTTTAAATTGAGTTTTGAAGTGTGTATTGCACTGTAAGCAACTCCCATTTTATACTTTTATGCTTGGTTTATTTAGGTTTTGTATGATCAGTGTCAAGTTGATCTGCTTTCAATTGTTGTGGGGCTTGTTCTTGAGATTCAATGTTCGCCAAGCAAAGAAAGAATTTCAATGTGTTGTATTGAGGGAGTGGATTTTAATTTTCACTTTCCTGTTCATGAATAGGGATAATTGGGATCAATTTTTGAGTTGTTCCTTTTTGTAATTTCTGTTTTGGGGACCTATTATCTATCTCTTTGATCAAAAATTAATCTTTTGCTATGAGTCTACATTTAAGCTATCTCTTTGATCAAAAATTAATCTTTTGCTATGAGTCTACATTTAAGCTATCATCATAGTGGTCAGTTTCTCACTCAAGAGTTCAGATGTTTTTTGTGTTACCTCGATTTCTATGAACATAAATCATATTGATTTCTTTGACTTTGCTTTAGTTACCTATTATATGATCCTGGAATTTGATTGTGATTTGTGAAGTAGAAGGATTGGATTTGATTTTCTATATGTAGCTTCTGTAGCTCATAGTAACTTCTGTTTTTCCTTTGATTGGCTCTTTATTAAAATGGCATAACAGTTTGTACGGAAAAGAGAGCGTTGCATAGGTTGATTCTGAAAAGTAGGGAACTGCTTGAGAGTTGAATATTTGTTTTGCAATGCTCTTTACCTTTTTCTTTTGTTCCCCCCCCCCCCCTTTTTTTTTTTCAGGTGACACTGCTTTTGCTTCTGGCATTAAGTGATGCTGTTGAACTATATGGGGCCGGAAGTGAAGGAGAGTGTAAATTCAATAGGCCGCTGGAACCCAGACCGCACAGTGTGTCCATTTTGGAATTCGGAGCAGTTGGGGATGGCAAGACATTGAATACGGTCGCTTTCCAGAATGCCATTTTCTACCTTAAGTCCTTCGCAGACAAGGGCGGTGCTCAACTGTACGTTCCGTCTGGCAGGTGGCTTACTGGAAGCTTCAACCTTACCAGCCACCTTACACTCTTTCTGGAAAGAGGAGCTACTATTTTTGGATCACAGGTTCTCATTTCAACTTAATTTTTATTTTTTATTTTTTCATGAAAATGAAAAACAATACATTTTTCTTGTTCTAGAAACTATGAAAAACTATGACAGAGTCCCTTTATTATTATTATTTTTTTGGGGGCAGCCATGAACCATGGATAACTTAAACTTAAAACCATTGCTCAGTATTAGAGAGAAAACAACAACAAAAGGGGAGTGAAATGCGTAAATGTGTGACAACATGGGAGCGAAATGACGAGGGGCTCTACTTTTGGCTTATTTTACCACCTTTCTTCCATTGTCTCTCCTCCCTACACAACACTTCAATTAGGCTGTTGTATCAATATTCAAACCACTTTTAATGGAGACGAGGTGACAAACACACTGCTCAATCTCCAGGGAAATGGTCCCTTTCTAGTTTTTGTTTATAGTTTTTGGGGTTTTATTAACCTGGTTCTTGAGTGGATAATCAGTAAATATTCTGCCGAATAGGCCCTTCAACTTCATTCATTTTCTGGCGGTGACATCAGGTGCCTTTTTACCTTTCTTTCTTTCTTTCCTTCTTTCTTTCATTCATTCATTTTCTGGTGGTGACATCAGGCGCCTTTCTTTCTTTCTTCCCTGCTCGGTTCCTCTTTACCTCCATATAGTCTTCAATACACTTGCTCAGAAATCCTTTGCTACTACAGTTGCCAAAAAAATCCAATAACCTAAATAGTGTCTTGATTTCAGTACCTAAAGGAAAATCTAAAGATCTTGCTAGAATAAGCAAGAAATTTGGATATTAATGGAGAAAGGAAACCAATGGATTGGTGTTGTGGGGGAGAGAGGAGGAAGAGAAGGGGGGTGGTCGGCAAGCAATCAGTGACGGGAACTTCTGTGAAGGGAGAAAAATGTGGAGATGGGAGGTGGCTAAAATAACTAGAGCAAATAACTTTTTCAAATCTTTCCTCCATAATTTTCTCATGCTCCCAATTTACTCTCTTTCATGCATCAATGGGAAAAATAGCTTAGCAAAAAAATTTAGGTTGATGCTTTTGCCTACCAAACAATTAAAGTACCACATTCCATGTTATTTATTTCAATCTAGTATCTATGCTCTACCTTATAGAGGTAAGGTTATATTGTGGACTATATCAGTACTTGCATCCATCTAATTGGGGTGAGTTTTACTTATTGCTTTTATCTTTCTTTCTTTTTTTCTATTTTTATTTATTTATTTATTTATAGGATTATTCTCATTGGGAAGTAGTTGAGCCCTTACCATCTTATGGCCGAGGGATTGAACTGCCAGGTGGAAGATATCGCAGCTTGATTACTGGACATAATTTAAGTGACGTGGTGATTACAGGCAGGGACACCCCTCAATTTTTTGTTTGTCCGATGATTTTATAATTTATTATGTATCTAAATCTATTGTTTCTCTGACAAATTGCACACATCTTTTGATTGCACCAGGTGGTAATGGGACTATTGATGGTCAGGGTTCTGTGTGGTGGGAGCAGTTCAGTTCTCATTCCTTGAAGTATAGCCGTCCTCATCTTGTGGAATTTATTGGCTCTAATGATGTTGTTATTTCGAATCTAACCTTCTTGAATTCCCCTTTCTATAACATTCATCCAGTATATTGCAGGTAGCTTGGCTTTTATCCTTTAAGTTTATCCTTCACTCTTTGCAAGCATGATGAACTTCAGTAAGATTTGATGAGTAGTAATATTTTATGTGGATATGATGCAGTAATGTGCTAGTTCAGAACTTAACAGTTCATTCTCCACCTGAATCTCCTTTCACTAGTGGAATAGTCCCAGGTTAGTTGGAAAAAATTTCGTTACTTGAGATTTACATTTCTTATTTGCATGTGATTGAGGATCTGTCGATGCTATATGCAATATGTTTACCAATTTATTATTATCTTGGTTATAAATCACAAAAAAAATTGAACAGTTCCTTATCATCGGGCATTCTGTTTTCTTCAAGGCTATAAACTTGTCTTCAGCTGAAATTCTTTATCTGATTTTTGTTATAAATCTATTTACTTCCAGATGGTTAGCTAATTCCCTGCATTAGCCCATTACCTGTTCTTTAAAAGTTATTGATAACCAAACAGAAGCAATCAGGTAATTTCTAGGGATAAATAGAGACTTTTTTTATTTTTATTTTTAATAACCCGATAATCTTGTGTTAGAGGTTATGCTTGATTTACTTGTATTACTATTACCTTTTTTTTTGTTTTTTTGTTTTTTTGTTTTGTTTTGTAGATGAAGCATGATGCAGTACATAATTGTTAAAGTTTAAATATCTTATTTAATAACATTGAGTGTGAGAAATTTTGTTGGCCAAATCTTGTTTCAAAGTTTTCTTTTTTCATAACAAAATTAAATAAATAAATAAATTCGAGTTAGAAGGTTGCAGAATATTATATCTTTATGTAACAATATCCAAATGCAAATTTCAGATTCCTCTGAGCACGTTTGCATTGAAAATAGCAACATTAGCATGGGTTATGATGCCATTGTGCTCAAGAGCGGTTGGGATGAGTATGGAATTGCATATGGCAAACCAACTGCATATGTTCACATCAGGGATGTTTGCCTTCAGTCATCTTCGGGCTCTGGTCTGGCTTTTGGCAGTGAGATGTCTGGTGGCATTTCTAACATACTTGCCGAGCGTCTTCATATACATGATTCATATACTGGCATTGGACTTAGGACATCAAGAGGCAGGGGTGGTTATATAAAATACGTTATCATATCATATGTGGAAATGGCTAATGTTCAGCTGGCAATTGAGGCAACAGGGGAATTTGAATCCCATCCAGATGACAAATATGATCCTAGTGCACTCCCAATTGTCACTGACATCACCTTTAAGAGCATGGTTGGCACGAATATCACAACAGCAGGAGTCTTTTCTGGAATCTATGAATCTCCCTTCACTTCAATTTGCCTATCAAACATCTCCTTATCTATCACTTCCGGCCCTTCTACTTCATGGGTATGTTCTAATGTGTCAGGTTTCTCTGAGGCCGTGTCTCCTGAACCATGTCCTGATTTGCAGAGCTCATTTTCTAATTCTTCCACAGGCTGCTTCTTCCTCTTGTATCCAAATAGTCTCGTTGCAATTTTATGATACCAGCACCTTAAACTACAATTATTTGTTTCATCCAACCTATACAATGAGAGTCTAAATGCTTCTGCCATTTCCGCTTTGAATTCAAGTGGATAATCAATTGAACACTCTCTCATCTAGAAATGGAACTCCCCAAATTGGTATCATCCAGGTCGGTTGCTCTTGTACAGCCTCGTTTTCTTCATTCATTTGCAAGGAAATTTTTGGTAGTGCAGTACAACTCAGATACTTATTACTTTCGGTGCTTTATTTTCTTTTTTAATTTATTTTATTGTCATTTATTTCACAATGTAAATTTATGTAATGGATATGGACATTATGATCGATTAATAGTAGATTGGGAGGGGAAGGTGTCATGGAGTGATGATATTCTTGAAATAAAATTTGTCTTCTGTACTCTGAATTACTAGGATGCACCTTTCTGCTACTAGCTTGTTGATTTTTTGCATCACTTTCTGTGCATAAGACGCGACGACGCTTCTTTGCAGAATTTCTTTATGTTGTTATATTGATGTATGCATTTTTTGGTAATACTTGAAAATAGATACCTCATCAGACTACACAGACTAGAGCTCATCTGATCATTACTTAATTTCTACGTAAACTATTTGTCTTTTTATTCAGTGGTAGGTTATAGCATTCTTGCTTCAAAATGGATTTGATCTGTTTCTGGATGGTGAAATTATATATGGAAAGGAAGTTGAAAAAGGAAATGTTGAAACCATGGTGTTTGTTTGTCATAGTTGAGTAGCTGAAATATGGATATCCCCATAATATATTCGTGAACTTTGAATATAAACCTCAGTTAGAGAACAGGCTTTTGGCACAAGCCTATTATGGTTCTTCTTTCGGAGAAATTGCTTACAGCAATGGTGATTGGCCTGGGACCGGGACCATATAATTTCTCCTTCAGAACTTGCAGTTTTGTGTTGGAGACCTAGGATGGTGGCATACTGATGATTGACAACTTTAAAAGGACTACAATGACTTGTGTTGCCCAACAAATAACCCTCAATTAAAGTATAAATGCATTCGTGGTTGTCTGCATCAAGAGCATCAATCTTGTGCTTCAAGTATTCAAGTCGAATGGAGAGAGCCAGCATGATAAAATGTTTGCATTGTTCATAACAGAGAACCAATCGAAAACATGAAAGACCAACAGTACATGGAAGATTTAGCTCTGTAGATCTGAACTTTATCGGTGTCTTCGTTCTAAAGCAGCGTGTGACTCTGAAAGGCATGGCCTCACTCAATGTTCTTGAAGCGACTCCCTGCAAGAACATAGTATAAAATGATATTTACATTCAAATTAACAATGTGAAGGAAATAGATGAGGTTGTGGGAGTCGAGGACCAAAGCCTTGAGCATCCTTGCTGGAGCAACTGAAGATGTGAATTCCTGGGCTTAATTTGTTAAAGGTATTAGGTTCAACACAACAAAGACTCTTGAAAAAATAGAAGAAGAAACAATTGGGTTGACACGATGGTATATTGAGATTTGAGAGTAGTGGAGATATGGGAGGAGTGTTACTGGTATTTATAGAGTTGATAAAATAATGGCAGTCCAAGAGCTTTGAGAGGAGAGATGCCAAAAACCGCTTGTTTAATTTCAAGTTCGGTAGGCGGCTCCAGTAAAATTTTATTCATTTCAGTTGAAATGCGACAAGGGATGCAACGTAGGAATTGATCGATGCCACTGGGATTTTGAGAATGAGATAATTACTGAAAATACCGCAAGAAATTGGAGTGAATTGTTGCTTCCTCCTCGTACCATGTATCCACTTCATCCTTAATTTACTGAAGAGAGAATTTCTAGCCCGTCTTCTTCTAGTTGCAGCATGAAAAAACTTGGTATTTCTATCACCAAATTGAAGGCATTGATTTCTGGACTTCTGCTTCCAATAAAGCTCCTCATCTACCCAACATTTCTTAAGATTTTCTTCAGCCTAAAGAACATGGGGAGTGATCATAATCAGAATTTTTTTCCTTCAATCGCCAAAGATTTAATGAATTATGTTGGTTTCCTTTAGCCCACTGGATCAAAGCTTTTTTTACACTCTTAATTTGGTAGCCCAACAATACTATCGAGATCCTTGGACAGGCCGATTCTAGGTTTTGGCAATTATGGAAACACATATACCTTCCGGAAAAAAAAAAATTATGGAAACACATTGGTAATTTATGGTCCAGTTTACATCAAAATGAAACTGACGTTTCGCCTTAGGGGAAACTGGATGAAGATCAGGCAATAAAGCATAGTGATCCAAGTTGTAATGACCCAGTCATTTTTGGCAACTTTCGTTTTCATTGATTTTTTTTTTTTTTTTTTGTAAATTTGTTTCCTTTCCCGCACCTTAAGGTTTTAGGAAACCGAGTTAGGGTTTTGTGCCTGATTTCTTGGTTTTGTTTCCGATTTCTTTTTCCGATGTTACGTGCCATCTCTTTGATTTATTTCCATGAAATGCATATCTTTACTTTTGTAGAAAAACATGCTAGTTGCTTACTTTTCCCCGTAGGGGTATGGATGCATAGTTTCTTCGGAAACGTTTTCTTTTATTGGGGTATTTTTCGTAAATATCTTTAAAAGATATTTTATTTCGGGTTTTTTTAAGAAAGTATCTTTTGGAATATATTTTCATTTTGGGTCATTTGTGCAGTTATCCTTTTGTGGAGAGGCCTTTGCGCAATTAACGAAAGTTAATGCCAAGTGTCCCGTTTTGGGCTAGGATCCTCGTACGGGATTCATTTTCGCTTTTCGTTGGGTCGTGGACTCTTAGATTTGTCTTCCGGTCGTTTTCTTCAGTTTTAGGGTTTTTAACCTCAGTTATCGCCAAACTTGCTCGGGACTCAGTTTTCGACGCCATTTCTTCCGTTGTTCATTTTTTCTCACGTCAGTACTTTTTCATTCACGGACTTTTTCCGTTTGAGCGCGTCCGGACAGTTTTCACTTTTCGAGGCCGCGCAGGGCCCGTTCGGGGGTCATTTTGGACTTTATATAAGGGGGCCGGGGGGGGGGGGGGGGGGGGAAGAGAAAAATAATTAGATTTTCCCCTCCCCTAGCACACGGCTGCTGCCCTTTTTCCCCCTTTTTGATCTTCCTCCTTCTCTCCTCCTTTTAGCTTCCTTCCACTTTGATTCTCACCCAGCCTTAGAAGGCTTTGTTGTTGGCTTTGGAGAGGCCTCGATTTCCATCCAATTAGAATCCAGTTTTGGCCAATTTTTCAATTCGGGATTTAGCTTAGGTTTGGATTTGGGTGTTGCCGCAAGAGGGCTTTGTGTTCTCCTCGTCGTAACCCCGGAGTTTCGTCGCATTCGGAAAGGTTCCGTTTTGGCGTCATTTGAGATTTCATCTCAAATTGAGGTAGGGAATGTCCTATGTTTATACCCTTAGTGTTTTAAGGTTTAATTTGAGGTTTAATGCATGCTTACGCTTCTAGAATTGCGTATAGGTTGCTTAGTATATGATGAACTTAGGGTTTCATGTTGAATATGACTTGTGTACAACCTATATATTGTGTTTATGTTGTTTCATTTGAAGTAACCTAAAATCTAGAGATTTTCATGTTTAGTGGTTACTTAAACCTAGTGATTTCTATGTATATAGATTTCTTGATTTATGTTTATAGCATGCCTATGAATTGTTTAATATTCAATACCCTGTTGATGTTGAAATGAGAACTTGGAAGCTTACTTTATATTAGCATTAATTAGTTTTCTACATTGCAATATGATGTTAACTTATGTGTGCTCAATTTAGGCTTAGTTGTGTGGCTATGGTGAAGTCTATCTTTACTAAGCATTGTGAACTTGTAGAAATGTTAACTTGTGTGTAAATTTTGGTGTGCGTGCCACTACGGCTTTAGGAGTATAGTGGTCACCGTTTCGTTATACGTCTATGAGGTTTTAGTTGTGTGTGCACGGCATACATAACAAGTTTGAAGGATAGACGCCATCCGATTATTGAAAAAAGTGGACATCGCGTCCGGTGGATTGAAAGTCCTTTGGAACATTGGCCAATGGGGTGTGGAAGTGCACCAATCTCGTTTTCGTGTCCGAGATTTGATTCTGGCATTGTCTTTTATTATTTTGTGTCTTAGAGTAATATGTGCGATTTGTATCATAACGGAGTCTATGTGCTAGTTGTTTGGTAACTCTTGGAGTGATGTATATGATAAGTGCTCAAATGTGATGCATTTTAGCACCTAAGTTAGGGTATTTTAGTCCATTTATCTATCTTACTTTCCCGTTTTAGTTTTAATTTGTGTTTTCGTCTTTTTCAGGTTAATAAGGTTCAAAAAGGCTAAAAAGAGCCTTTTAGCTCCTTTTTGAAGTCAAGAAGAAAATTCAGAATAAGTCAGAAAAACTGGACAGTCTTCGATCGATCGAAGGAAGTCCCGATTGATCGAAGATATCTACAATCGATCGAAAAGAAGGCGGTGCTAGCTCAATGGATAAGGTCGCCAGTTGTCAGAAATATTTTTGCCACATCATCTTCGATCGATCGAAGCCCCTGGTGGCAGTGAGCTGTTTTAATTCCCCGAGCGCACCTGAACTCCACTAACTTTTGTAACTGCGAGATTGCAGCAATCAAAGGCCTATTTTCTAACTTGTTGCCTACTTAAAGAGGCTTGTATTTAAATTAAATGAAACCAATTGTATAGGGCTCCCAATTTTGGTTCCAAGTATTTTTCCAACTTTTGTAATACAATTAGATAATTTTTCTTTCTAGATTAGGTTTTTTTGGAGCAAAAGCCCTTGAGGGTTGGATGAAAACAACCATGAGTGGCTAATCCTTTTCTTGGGGCTAGAGATAGCCCATAGGCTTGCTTCCTAAAGTTAGTTTTGTAGTTTTTGGGGATTTATGTTGTAAATAATGTTTTGACCATGATTATATATAAATCTTGAGTTTCTGCATGATTTGTATGGATTAATTCTTCCAATTGATATTTTATTTTTTATTTATATGTCTATGTATGTTATAATAAATGGTCATGTGCTTACACTAGATTTGATGAGTTTAATGCATGTTTATGTGTGTTGCAATTATAAATCTAGTGATGGTCAAGACATGGTTCTTAATTCATTACTCTTGTGGTTTGTTTGAGGAATTATGCTTATTTCTTGATGGATTGTGCTACCTCTTTAGCTTAATTAGTTTAATTTCATTATCATAAGTCTAGTTGTAGTGTAGTTGTTTTATATTCCTAGATAGGTAAACAATCCATTCTTATTATTTGATGATCCATGCTTATGAGTGCAAGTAGTATATTTCTCTAGATTTTAGTGTGAGTATTAATTGTGGGTATATTGAATGATTAATGGTTTAATTTTATAGGTTGTGTTACTTACTAGATTGATTAGGCAATTTATGCTTAATTTGCCATCCATGCTTAGTATTTTAATT